CTGGGATGGCGCGATTGCGGGCCTGTTCCCACGTCGCGTTCCCTCCAGCGTAGTCTGGGCTCCTGCTCTGCCAACTGACGGATGATGGGGCCTCTGGGCGCCCGGCGCGGCCTGGAGTGGCTGCTGGGCCTCTACTTCCTCTCCCACATCCCCATCACCCTGCTCGTGGACCTGCAGGCGGTGCTTCCGCGCGATCTCTACCCCGTGGAGGTGAGGGCGCCGTCTGTCCTAGCCGCCGGTCGCCGAGGTTGGCGCCCCTCGGCGTAGCGATTGCCCCGGCGTCCCCGTGATCTCCCCTCCTCCGGCCTGGCGCCCCGCCTTGCCCACTCAGGGTTCCCTCCTGCTTTCCTTGGGTCCCGCCGACGCTCCGGCCCCTCCTTACCCTTCAACTCGACTTCTTCCTCGGGGTTTTCTTTGTCTCTCCCAGCCGCTTCCCCAAGGCTCCTGGGGCCAAACACCTTGCTCCTTTTAAAGACAGTTCTTCCCTGGGTTTCAGACTCCCACACCCCAGCTCTGGTCAGTTGTCAGTATTTGAGGGAAGTAGCCTGGATGAACCAGTGTCTAAATTATGGACACATGTTGGATCTGTTTTCAAGTTGTGTTTCTTGGGAGAGCTTTAAAAATACCGACTAATCCCAAAGAAATAACGCTAGTAGTATTAGACCGCTCTAAGGGACATTCGCAGAGCGTCCTGATTTCAAGATTAGGATCCAGCAACTTCAAAAGCTCAGAAGTAAACGACACCTTTTCAAATCGGCCTTTTTTATTGGGTTTGAGCAAGAATGATTACCTGAGTAGAAACGGAGGCGAAAGCCCCATTTCCTGGTTGTTGGAGAGCATTCTTTACCCCAAACTTTAACTTTTGCTTTGAATGCTTTTTATTTATTGAGTTTTATTTTCATGTCTGGACGCTATAACCTTCTATCATGGAATTCCAGTCCTCGGTTCTACACTTCTCCAATCTGTCTGCAGAACTATAGCCAAGCCTGACGTGTCTACCTAAAGATTTGATTTTACCTCTGTTTCTCTTTAAATGCTTTTTCTCTGCAGAGCAGGGGTTCTTAACCTGAGGTCCACGAACCCCTAATGGGGTATGCAAAATTGTGTGTGCCTTGTTTTCCATACCTTGTTTTCTAAGCTTCCATCAACTTTTCCAGGGGTCTGACCCTCCCCAAAAGGTTAAGAGCCACTGCTCAACAATAAACCCCCACTCCGTAGCCTGGTTTGTTTCACGCTCCAAGCATAAATGGGAAGACCTCTGACCTACCTTTTCCTGGGAAAAGTGTAGGTTGTGTGTGGCAAGAGCATTGCCTGGGGACTTGGTTCTTCCAAGAACTTCTTGGGTTCCTTGGGCAAGTCAGGGCTCTGTAGCTTCAACTGTCAAGTAGGAGAGAGATGAGTTAAATCACAAGCTCAAACATATACAAGATGTATTAGTTTCCTATTGCTTCTGTAACAAATTACAAAAATATAGTGATTTAAAACAACACGAATTTATTATCTTTCAGTTCTGGAGGTCAGAAGTTTGAAATGAGTCTTGTAGGCCTCGTTCCTTCTGAAGGTCCTAGTGGCGGATCTGTTCCTTGCCTCTTCCAGTTTCTGGTGGCTGCGGGTGTTCTTGGCTTGTGGCCACATCACATCAATCTCCGCTTCGGTCCATCACTTTGCTGCCTTTTCTTCTTTAGTCCCATCTCCCTCTGCCCAACTTTTATAAGGACACTTGTAATTACATTTAGGGCCCACCAGATAACCAGGATAGTCTTCCCATCTCCAAATCCTTAACTTAATCACATCTGCAAAGCCACTTTTGCCAAATAGGTTTACATTCATAGGTTCCAGGGATTAAGATGTGGATGTCTTTGGGAGCCATTATTCAGCCTACGACACAGGCCCAGGTGGTACATGATCCTTCTAAACAGGTCGTCACAGCTCCGCATTAGCCATTAGTTGCCTTGAAGAAAGGAGAGCCATGTCTGTGCAAAGTCTGTGTGGCCAACAGAACTCAAGCAGGCTTCCTGTTCACAATCTCTGATGTTATGAGTCCCTTTAATACTAGGCAGTCGTGGGACTTCCCTGGTGGTCCAGTGGGTAAGTCTCCGCACTCCCAATTTGGGGGGCCCGGTTCGATCCCTGGTCGGGGAACTAGATCCCACACGCCTGCCACAACTAAGAAGCCTGCATGCCGCAACGAAAATCCCGAGTGCCGCAACTAAGACCCGGCACAGGCAAAATACATACATACGTACATACATACATACATAGCAGTTATGTTACTCCAGGTAGCCAACCGTTCCAGACTTAACAGCTGTTGGTTTTCCTATCTTTTGTGAATGTGCTATTCCCACAAGTTCTTGCTCTCCACTCACAAAATACAATTAAAATGTTTCCAAAATCATAAAGACCCCACTTAAACTTATATATTTGATTTGGTAGTTTTCTCAGCTTTATTTTTTTAAGTTCACTTGTTGTAAAAGGTCAAGGGCCAACATAGGCAGGATCTGACCAGAAACTCTGAAACTGTTTGTGTGTGTGTCTGTCTGTCTATGATACTGTTTAAGGACCTTAGTAACACAGGGGCCTCCCAGCTTGGAAGGCCTGTGTCTCTATTCACTCTTGTTGCTCTGGGGTGGGCAATGATGGTTTTGTTGCTTCTGTATGGGGAAATAATAATAATATAAAAGCCCTGAGTTATTTTCACATCCTCTTTGAAAAATGCCAAATTTTAACATCTGTTGTGTTTTTCCTCCCTAAATAGAAGGAATTTCTCCAGAACTAAAAAGCTTGTGGAGATCACATAATGGTTAGGCTAAAATTTGCAAATATCTTTCTTGGTTTGAATTAGATCAACACCTGGAAAAACTCTTACTATGAAACAATAAGAATTTAGTTTGGATTAGAACATGGAGAGGATGGGAAGCATTTTGTAGTATCATCTGCAGCTGGGTAGCATTGCTTCTGTTAAAATACGGGAAAACAAGTGAGCATCTAGATGCTGAAAGTTTGTGCGCTCATTCTAAGAGGAGTGCAAGACTGTTCAGTAGCAACTTCGGTCTAGAAATCCATGTGCGTAGGCCAGGTGAATATTTTAATGGATAACAATGGTAAGTTGAGTCAAATGTGAGTCAGTTATAAATGGAAACAGTTTTATTACCTTTTTGGGGGTCTTACCTAATAATTACTAATGACCAGTTGCATGCTGAGATTTTAATAGGATTAAATTGAACTTCTCCAAATATGTATTACATTCAGTTAAGTAATCTTAACATTTACTGTGTGCTAGCCATTGTTCTAATGACTGTATTAACTCTCTTTATCTTACCAACAGCGAGGTAGGTACTACAATTGGGAAACAAGTTTAGTGAGATTAAGTGCTTTGCCCAGAGCCAGCACTCAGAGCCAGGCACTCAGCCCCTGGGTACCATGCTCATCACTCTGCTTGGGGGTTAAGGGCGTTGACCCTCCACGGTCGGGAATCCACGTACAGTTTATAGTCAGCCCTCCATACCCACGTTCCTATCTTCAAATTCAACCAGCCACCGACTGACCGTGTAGTACTGTAGGATTTACTGTTGAAAAAAATCTGCATATATGCGGACCTGCACAGTTCAAACCCATGTTGTTCAAGGGTCAACTGTGTTTTAAATTTTGCTGTTATCATCCTGCAGCCCTTAGAAATTACAGTGTTGTACAAATCTGCCTGGATTTATGAAATAGGTGGATCTGAATGTATACGAATTAAATAGAAAGTGAAGTTCAAATGAACCAGAATGCCTTTTTTTTTTTTTTTTTAATAAATATGTTTTTGGCTGTATTGGGTCTTTGTTGCTGCATGTGGGCTTTCTCTAGTTGCAGCGAGCGGGGGCTACTCTTCGTTGCGGTGAGCGGGCTTCTCATTGCAGTGGCTTCTCTTGTTGCAGAGCACAGGCTCTAGGCGTGCGGGCTTCAGTTGTGGCACGCGGGCTCAGTAGTTGTGGCTCGCGGGCTCTAGAGTGCAGGCTCAGTAGTTGTGGTGCACGGGCTTAGCTGCTCCGCAGCATGTGGGATCTTCCTGGACCAGGGATCAAACCCACGTCCCCTGCATTGGCAGGCAGATTCTTAACCACTGTGCCACCAGGGAAGCCCAAATGAACCAGAATGCCTTTTAAATTCTGCAATAAATCTTTCAAAATACATCCTCCCAATATTTTTTTTTAAGTAAATCTAGAAAGCAAAAAAGGATCTTAAAAAACATTTAGTCCAAGTTGCTTGTTTTACAGATGAGAAAGTAGAGCCCAGGAGAGGTAGAGTGACTTAACCTTTATGAATATTTTCTACCACATTACCATCCTGAAAAGTGCTTAGGAGGAAGCTAAGGATATTGCTGTGAATTTAAATTTCAAGTCAAATACAAATTCAAGATCGCTTGGTCAATAAACTGATTATCTAGCTAAGGCCTTTTTGTAATTAATATTATGCTAACAGAATGTTTGTTTCTGGATGTTTGCTTAAGGCTCACTTGCAGCATAGAGGCCTCTATTTCACAATAGTGAGCCTTTATCTTTAGATTAAAAATTAACAGGAAAAATATTTTTGTATTTTCCATTGTAAGCCAAATGCTTATCTTGGAAGCTGTCTTGATTTATCATAATATCAAGATACCATGTCCAGGAGGTTAAATGTGACAGACCTTCAGTAGTCTACGTAGTGTGGAGAGCCCTAGGCTTTGGGCTCTTAAAAGAGCACAAAATGGGCAGCCTCAAACCCTCCTGCTTCCTTCCCCTGCCTGCAGCCTCATCTACATGGATCTGCATCTTTTGATTTGACAGTGTCATCACGAAGGTTGGGGCCCAAACTAGAACTGAGACCACTCACTCTCCAGAGTGAGGCAGAGTCTGTTCCTCTGCAAATATACTACTGATCTCCTAAAAGAGAAAAAACTTTAGAATTAAGGGGGTAAGGAATGACAAGGAACTTGAGATATGGGGATAAGTTAAATTGTCTAAAATTGCAACTTCACAGAGGTTAGATTTACCTCCCTTACACTTCCCCCCGCACCTCGACCCCCCAAAAAAGACAAGGAAACTTATTTCTGTATTTGAGGCAATCTGGCCCTTGGAGCTTGCTATGCAGTTGCTATTTTGAAAGGACAAACGTCAGGATGGTTTTCACATCATTTCTTTATAAAGAAGGCTATTGTTGGCAGATACTTAACGTTTGTGCGTTCAGCTGAGAGCCTACTAAGTGCCACATACTGTTGCTCCTGACAGTATCCCCACCTGGACGTGTGTTATCACAGACATGTTGGGTAGCACACAGGGGCTGGAAGAGCTGAGGAAAGCTGCTGGGAGAAGGTAACATTTGAGTTAGAGCTAGTGAGTTTTTATTAAATGACCATCTAGGCTGCACCACAGAAGCCAGCTGGGTGTGCCATCTGCTGCCAAGGTAGCTGGGTAGTGAGAGGCTCTGCCAGCGGGTTGGAACTGCTGAAGCCTGTCCTGCCAGGTAGCTGTATTCATTGTGATCCTCATCTTTTCCCAGCTGAGAAACCTGCGGCAGTGGTATACTGAGGAGTTCAAAGACCCCCTGCTACAGAACCCCCCGGTGTGGTTTAAGTCCTTCCTGTTTTGCGAGCTTGTGTTTCAGCTGCCTTTCTTTCCTGTCGCAACATATGCCTTCTTCAAAGGTTAGTAAATGGGGAAATCCCATTTTTGCTCTGAAACCAGGTCCCAGAAATTTTTTGGGAAAGTTTTACCAAGGGAAAGGGGAGTGGTCCCTGGAGGCTGTATGAGGGTGATATAGGATTGGTGGGGACGGCCAGGATAGATCTTATATAGGGACATTAATGTGGCTCAGGCTAGTGTCTGTGGTCAGCTGGGCTGCAGGACTGCCTCAGTCAACTGGAAATTTCTCACACACATGAAACCTGAGACTAGTTTCAAGTTTGAACTTGTTCCTTTTTATTGTCCCTCCCCCGCACCCCACCCCCCAACAGAATTTCTTTTTTGTTGTTGCTTTTACTTTTCTGCTTTGGGTAGTATCATCCTGGCTTTTAAGCAGTAGCATCAAGCTAATCTCTAAATGGCTTAACCTCTCATTTAAAAATTATTCTTACAGTGTCCCCATGACGAATGCTTTTAAAAAGAAGGTGGCCATACCAGTGTTCATGGTAACTAAGCTTGTACAGCTTCCCTCCCACTGGAACCCCCAAGCCATCTCTTAGCAGAATCTCTTGATCCCTCTCACCTATATATAATTACTTAGCAAAGAGATGTTGCTGACAGGGCTGCCCCCGCCTCCTCACCTTCCTCCAACTGCATTTTAGACCAACCTGGTTTAACTAGTAATGGCGATTTAACTGCCCTAGAGTTTTTCTGAATTAATTCTGACACCACCCAGTGTTCTTTGGCAGTCAGTGGCTAGGGCTCCAGCTGTCACATAAGTTTGCACGTTGAGCATTATTATATCACATCCAGTTTCCACTTGGTGGAAAAGGAGCAAGAATGATTCAGCTGAAGGGAGCAGGCAGAGACAGGGTGGAGGATGCTGTGGACATACCTGGAGCCATGAGCAGATCTAACCCTTATCTCTTTCTCTCCTCGATGACCTCAGGAGGCTGCAGATGGATCCGCACCCCTGCAATCATCTACTCGGTTCAAACGATGACAACTCTGATTCCAATCCTCTCCACATTTCTACTCGAGGATTTCTCCAAAGCCAGTTGTTTCAGAGGACAAGGACCTAAGACTTTCCACGAACGACTATTCCTTATATCTGTCTACATGCCCTACTTTCTCATCCCTCTTATACTTCTGCTTTTCATGTTGCAGAACCCCTATTACAAGTCTGAGGAGAAAAGAAAGAAAAAATGAGGAAAAATCACCCCAGGTCCAGGGGAGAGGTGACCACGGGGCAGTTTCCTGTTGGACCCAGTACCAGGAAAATGCTCAGAACCCATGTTTTCAGTAGTATTTGAAACACACCAGCAGCAACACACACGGCCAAGGCACTGGCAGGAGGCACATCAAACCCTCATCTTCCAAGGGCACTGGCATAAACAGACCGATCACCTGAGGATGAGCAGAGGGGTGTGGGCTAGGTTATAGGGAAGTGGTGCCAGAGGCCTCACTGTGTGCCCAAGTGCCATTGTAGGATTACTAAAGGCAGGACCAGACCAGACACCAGATAAACTTCCAAGCAACATGGCCTACTTGGCATGTTCATGAGTCATTTGACCCACGGTATACATGTGACTAACCCTTTGACTCATGACTCTCTACAGCGTGTCACTGGGGTGTCTCAGGCCATTTTTAAGCTTGAAGCTGTGCCTCTGTGATGTTCACTAAAAACTGTTTTCTTGTCCCCACGCCTAGGTGAGTGTGAGCTATTCTGTAAGAGGGTTAAACTTAGTTTTCCTTAAACGTTCAACCTTGGCATGACCTTCAGTCAGAAACGGGTCAAATTGGAAGGTGTATTGTTTCTGTCTTAAACAGGTTGTCCCAGGAGAAGAGATTTTTTAAAGTCTCCTTGCTTATCCTCTTTCCAAGCCTCAGTCTTCTATTACTTTTTACAGACCACCTAACATAAGTTCCTTTACTTTGACATCTGGTGTCTCAAACCTGCGCTGGAGGTGTCCCTCCTACTGGATAACTTCATCCTACCAAATAGTTTAATAATTCCTTCCTGTCTCATTGCCAGTCAAAGGCAACGGGTGGCGGGGAGCTGCGCATGACAGGTCGTGTGCATATAGGGTCTCTTCACATTAGTACTTGGTATTCTGCTAGCTTTCTCTAAATTCATATTTGAGGCCAACTCAAAAAAAAAAAAACAAACTTGTGAACACACATGGAAAATGGTAGATGCTGGTTCTGGTTAGTTCCCCCTTTTTTCCTGTTTTGCTTACAAGCCCTAATGGTCTGATTGTTGGGAGTATCGTCTGACTCGTGTGTCTGGTCAAAATAAAGGTAGCTGCTGACCACTGCCTGGTTTGTTTGTTTGTTTGTTTTTCTGCGGTACGCGGGCCTCTCACTGTTGTGGCCTCTCCCGTTGCGGAGCACAGGCTCTGGACACACAGGCTCAGCGGCCATGGCTCACGGACCCAGCCGCTCCGCGGCATGTGGGATCTTCCCGGACTGGGGCACGAACCCGTGTCCCCTGCATCGGCAGGCGAACTCTCAACCACTGCGCCACCAGGGAAGCCCTGCCTGGTTTGTTTTGTGGACCAGGGGCTAGAGACTCCAGGGTTCTCTTACAAAGGGTTAAATGTACATTTCAAGGGCACCAGGAAAAGAGGTAGATCAAGCCATTTGAAAAAAATAATTTATTGCTTTTCCTTCCAAAGCTTTGTGAATTTACAAAAAAAGTTTATAGGCCGCTCAGTTCAGACTGAGAATGCAAGAGGTGAGAACCTGGACCACAATGGCCACTGGGTGTTCGCCTGCAGATAGGCACTGACGTCTGAAACAAGCTCCCCCAGATTTGCTTTATTGCCTTCAGAGATGCTGCATTCCTCACACACCATCTCACAGAACACACTTGGGTCATTAGTCAAGTCACTGGATTGGTACAGAGGTTTTTTTGTTTTGGGGGTTGTGGGGTTTTTTTCATTTTTTTGCCCTCCTGCTAGAAAATGAAATTTTCAGTTCATTTCTGAAAAATAAATTGGTCAATAAATTCATTTTGTTCTGCTTCTACTTTACACAGAGCTTCATATTCAACCCGATACCTGAAAAACAAAATTGTTAGAAGCCCTCAAAATGGATGAAATAAGCCATGGCCTTAATTCTTCTAGAGGAAGAATGTTAAGTGATTTACATGATTCCAAGAAACGGCGTGGGTTCAAAATGAAGTTAGTGAGGGCAAGAAAGAGAGAAAAAATAAGAGGCAAAGCCCTGCCTAGGGCCACCCATGGGAAGTCTGCAGCCCTGCGAGCCTTCCTTTCAGCGAGCCAGCCAACTCTGGACACTCACTACCTGAGTGTTCGTGCTCTCAAACTACTAGAGGTTGTCTGATAGTGAAATTTTTTTCCCAAGAAATGTAATTTTATTTTTATTTTAATCAGGATGACAAGACACTATTCCTGGGAGAACGATGATGAAGAATAAGGACAAGAGGAAAATAGAACTGGACAAGGAAAAATAGAACTGCAGTTCAGTAAAGAACTTGCTTTATGTCAGAACTTCTTACCTTTCAAGCTGCATTTTCTTTTCAGCTATTAGTGCCTGGAGTTGCTGCTGTTGGGCTTCTCTCTGTTTTGCTATAGATTTGAGCAAGTTCCGAGCCCCAATGGCCTAGAAAAACACGATACTGCCAAAGAAAGCCATGGCTTCATTAAAGTCCTCAAGTGGGGAAGGGATGCTGCCTGGGGCTGGTGGAGGGTGGGGCGCAGCGTGGGGAAAGTTGAGCCTCGGAGCTTTAGGAGTCAGTCAGAAAGAGGCTTAATTAATCTCACGATCCCAAAGTGCCTGGTGAGAACGGAACTGCAGCTCTGAGGCAGCCCTAGGAGTGTCCCCAGAGCCTGGCACACAGTGGCCCATTTGTTGCAACATTTGTGTCCTTTGCCAAGTCATCTACACTCTGCACGCCTTCATTTTTTCACTTATAAAACGAGGGTAAACCACCTATCTCAGTGATGACGTGAAGATTAAAGGAAACAATGACTGAAAGTACACTGGCATATAAGAGTTCAATAGTAGGTTCACTGGACCAGGAATTATTTCAGGTGTACAACATAATCATTCAATATTTGCATGGGTATTCTTATTTAAAATCTTGTTCTAATTAAAGAATCCCCGCCCACCTTCCCCTACCCCCCCGACCCCCAAATAAGTCAAGAGGGCAGAAGGATGAGAGGCTAGTGAACCAGGCCAAGATTTAGACAAAACACATGCTGATCTTACCTTCATCTTCTCATTTTCTACTTCTTTTGCAAGTTGGTCAACAAGCTCAATTAAACCACCAACTATTTTCTGAAACTGGCCAATTTCTTTTGGGGAAAGAACAAAACAAAATGTTTTATTTTCTCAGCATCACCACTCTCCCTCAGCATTCCCTTGCAGCAAGAGGGCAGGGCTAACTGCCCCTTCTAATTTGTGTCAGAAAACGTTTGGTGTCTGACACCCTTGGTCTGAACCTAGAGAAGGGTGGCCAGGTGCCCAGAGCTGGATCTTGAGGCACAAAGGGCTGTGTTCATGAAAGAACCGCCTCAGGACGTGAACACTGCCTCTAGACAAGCCTCAGATAAGACACTAGATTTCAGTTAATGGTGGGGTACGGGCTTTCCACCTATGACCTGAGCTAATAAAAAGCTCAAAGCATTTAAGGACTTAATCTCGCATTTGCTATTTTCAATGTCCTTGGCTGTAGTGGAACCCCATGTTACTGAGGAGTAAACTAAGGCCCAGAGGGTAGGACGACATGCACACAGCAATCAGAAGACTGGTGAGAGAACCCACGCTACCTTTCACCAGTCAAGCTCTCTCCACAGCCTACAGATGTCCAAAAGCTCAGAAATCCCTGCTCTAGCTAGATCTGCTCTGTATTCACTGCTACTGGGTTTGCTTGGCTGCTGGGACAGGTGGCATTCCCGGGTATCTCTAGCTAAAAAAAAATGAGTCTTTGGAACTGCCTCTAGAAATTTTCACTCCAAATAATGGCAAGTCAGGGACCTCCCTGGCAGTCCAGTGGTTAGGACTCTGCACTTCCACTGCAGGGGGCACGGGTTTGATCCCTGGTCAGGGAACTATTTATTTACTTATGGCCATGCCCTGAGGCGTGGCAATCAATCAATAAAGGCAAGTCAGGCACTGAGAACACTATTTCTCCCAAGAAATCAAATCATAACTCCACTTCCCACCCCCAAGCCACAGTTCTGAAGTTTAAGGTTCCTGAGATGGCATATCTAAACAAATACCCTCCTCTCTCCATTGCAGTGTTTTTTTGTTTTTGTTTTTGTTTTTTTTTTGCGGTACGCGGGCCTCTCGCTGTTGTGGCCTCTCCCGCCGCAGAGCACAGGCTCCGGACGCGCAGGCCCAGCGGCCATGGCTCACGGGCCCAGCCGCTCCGCGGCACGTGGGATCCTCCCAGACCGGGGCACGAACCCACGCCCCCTGCATCGGCAGGCGGACTCCCAACCACTGCGCCACCAGGGAAGCCCGCAGTGTTTGTTTTGATTGGTGCTCTGGGACTACACAAGAAGGCAGGTAGACAAGGTGGGTGGCACATGGGAATTCATGAAGGCCAGGCTCAACCTTCTGGGAGCCAGCAGCTCCACTGTGGCAGGGCCAAAAGCTGCAGTCTGGGGGTGGGGGCAGGGCACAAAGCTGAGTGGCACCATGTCTCCCCAAATGACACTCACTGTCCACAAAGTCCTTGCACTCTTCCTTTAGCTCTATGGTCTGCTGGGTAACCTCTGGGTCCAACACCCGCAGCTTGTTCAGCTCATCAAAGTGCAGCCCTGCTTCACCCAGGATGTCCTTGGCCATGGCTGTAAAGAAACCAGCCCCAATCCCCGATCACTTCCCAGCCACTCAAGGAAATGCCTGCTTCCAGCCCAGCCCCACTCCTGGCCCCGGACACCAATGCCAAAAACCCAGGTGTTCCAAAGGCTCCCCCTTCCCTCTGCCTCTGCCTCTCTGAGCCTCACCTGTTTCCTTTCCAGCTTCCCTAGAGAAGAGCAGTCCTGCTCTGAAGGGGTGACAGTGTCAGCCAGGAAGAGGTGTGTCATAGGAGCAAGGGTCAGGAAAGAATAAAGTCCAGTTGCTTGTCACAGGCATCGTTCATTCAACACACATTTCTTGAGGGCCTACTACATGCCAACACTGCTAGATGCTGGGGGTAAAGATGAGTACAACATGGTGCCCGCCCTGGAGGAGCACAGTTTAGCTGGAGGAAGACAGACATGTACACTGAAAAATAATGCTGTGTTAAGTGCTTTTACAGAAATATCACTAAAGCGTGGAGGAGAATAGAGCAGTTAACTTGGGGTGAGGAAGGGACATGTGAACTAAGCTGTGAGTCATAAGTATATTTATTTTACCACAGCTATGTACCCAAAAAGAAATAAAAGAGCTTTTCAAATACAGTACAGGAACAACATAAAAGACAAGTAAAAGAAAATCTGAGTGAATTAAAAATTAAGGTTAAAAAAATAAGAAGCCAGGTGTAAGAATATTACCCAAAATGTATGCCACAGGCACAGCTGCCTGAACTGGGACCCAAAGGGGTCAGTCTCTTTCTAGCAGAAAACACAAAAAGAAGTGAAATATCATCGAGAACATACCGATAAGGAGGCCAAGGAAAGGCATTCCAAGCAGAGAAAACAGCCTGGACAAGAGCATGAAGCCACTGGAAGGGCCTATCCTGCCTAGAAGATGAAAAGACAGAGGATGGAGCTGGAAAGGTCGGATGGAGCCAGATCAGAAACACCCTGTGTGCTAAGCTAAGGAGTTTGGTTTTATTTTTTTTCCGTAGACAAGAGAACCAGCAGAGATAACTTCTCCCTTCCCAGGCCACCTTGCATTCCTAGTCCAAAGGATGCCTCAACTCTGGGAAGGAAACACTGAAAATTCACCCTCGTTCTGGCTTAAACACACACACAAAATAGAATAAAATAAAAATAAAAATAAGAGAGCACATACCCTGTCTAAAAAGGGAGGCAATGCTACTGAGGTCTAGCCATTGGCTGCTACACCAAATCCCACACCCCAGGTGTTCAGAAGGCTACCACAACCTGGCCCTGCGCCAGCCCTTCCCTCCCACCTCCCCCAGCCTCACCTGTTTCCCTTCCAGCTTCCTTAGAGAAGTTCTGTTCTGAATGGGGTGATTCTGCGAGTGACTTCCCGGGGTAGGTGTGCCATAGGAAGAGCAATGGTTAAAAAGAATTAAGCTCCATTCTTGCAAGAACTGATCTTCAAGAGGACCAGAAATCCAGATTAATATATGAAATCTGATTTTTAAAGGAGAGTATCTAATTCAAAAATTTTAAGCAAGGAAAAAAAAAAAAAACACATCCAGCACTGTGTGGGCCAACTAATGTATGTTTGGCTGTGTATGACCGTGGTCCAGAGCCTTTGGCCTCACTGGAGCCCATTCAAGTAAGTTGGCTAGCATCTTCATTTTGAAACATTTTAATCATCCAGAGCTCCCTTATAATTGGGCTTTTAAAAAAGATCTGTCTTCTTATTTGTTCTATTTACACATATAGTCTAAGCATTTAACACCTACCACCTGATTAATTAGAACAACTGCTTCAAGTAACCTGAGGGCACAAAGATCTGCTTCAACTTCCACTCTCTTCCCTGAGAGCTTGCATTTATTCACAAACATCTACTGAGTCCCTGCTCTAGGGATAGAGAAGTGAAGAAAATGCTTTAATGCTTTAGCTTCTGACCTCTGGACAGAGAGTAAACAGATAATCATGAATTGTGATAACAGTATGAAGAAAAGCACATGGTGCTACGTGAAGCCGTAGCAGGAGGACATAATTCATATGTAAACAAAAGTCTTCTGAAAAAGTGACGTGCTGGGACCTAAAGGGTGTCCAGAAGTTTTTCAAGTTAAAGGGGGAGGAGGTATTCCAGGCAGAAGGAAAAGCATGTGTGAAGATGCTGAGGCTGTGAGAAATTTGATGTGTTCCAAGAGCCAAAAGGCTAGCGTGGTAGAAACACTGAGCAAGGGGAAGAGAGAAACGGGATGAGGTGAGGTGGGGAGGCTAGGGCTGGATGGCGGAGGGCTCTGAAAGCTGCAGCAATGAGCCTGGATTTTCTCATAAGGGTAATTAATGGGCAGCCAGCAGAGTGGCATAGTCAGATATGCCTTTTAGAGAGATCACTCTAACCCAGGATGGAGAATGGGTTGGAGGGAATAAGAGGATGGAGCTACAACTATCTTGTTCATCACTGTTACCCGAGCATTTGGCACGGTGCCTGCACAGAAATGGCACTCAGCAAATGTCTGTGGCATGAATGACTGTGACAACAAACAAAGCAAGCTATTTCAGTAACCAAGGCTTGGAGCTGAAGAAAAGTGTTCCGATTTGAGATGTTTTGTAAGTCGAGTTGGTAGGACTTAGTAAAGGATGATTGAATGCAGGGGTCTGAGGAGGAGTGAAGGAGAGTCAGGCAAGATTCCCGTGTATCCGGCCGGAGCCAGCTGCACGGTTGGAAGGCACATCGTTGAATGAGATGGGTCAGACCAAAGAGGAAGTGTAGGCAGAGGGTTCACAGCCGACTACTGCATTCTCTCCCAACTACCACCACACGCGCACCTGGGGAGCACCGGGCACAAGAGCCGGACTGAGCTCCCTGAAGATCAGGGTGGTGACGCGCTCTCCACCCCCCGGCCCCCCGGGCTCTTCCGGACCCACGCTGGGCGCTACGAGCAGGCTCCATCCGTGGGGTGTGTGGAAAATTAGGAAGACCTGGGTGATGGAGCTGGCTGGCTGTCTTCACTACGTAAACTCCTTGAACTTATCTGAGCTTCAGTTTCCTCCTAAGATGGTTGCGAGCATCAGCGCGTAAAGCTCCAAGCCCTAGCCGAGGGTAAAACCGCTCCCAGAGCCGGGCGGAATTCCCACGTTTCTTTCACCCTGGGAAGGCTTTTCCTCGGGCCGCGGGCCTGTCAGGCTCATCTCGCCCCGGGCCCGCCCACGTCCCCCAACCCGGAGTTCATGGCTTACCTGTTTACCCCACCGCGGCGGCGGCGGCTGCGACCCAAGCTGACGTCGGCAGGCAGCTTCTCTCTCCGGTCAGTGGCAGCCGGCGCCCTGCTCGCCAGCCTCAGCAGCGGCCACGGCTACAGGGCCCGTTTACGCCTAACATCACTTCCCGACCTCGTAAACCCGTACACCCGCAGAGTCTGCTGGGAAACAGAGGCCTGAGAGGAGAGACGGCTACCTACAAGACCCAGAGGCCTTTGCGCCGGAAAGGCTGCCGGAAGTAGCTGTGCGCTCACCGCGGGATTCTCTCAGGGGCTCCTCCCTCCGCCCTGATTGGGTGCTGGGCCTGCCCCGCCTTATAGTCTCAGGCTCCCGCTGGCTTGGGGCGGAGTCCGCGGGTAGAGGATGGGAGTTTAAGGCCCGGGATTGCTGGAGGGCAGGCGGCCAAGGTCTAGGGGCGGCACGGTGTCGACTTGCAACCCAGCTGAGAGGAGAGGCGCCACCTGGGAGGGTGAGAGCCGAGCCGGCCCATGCCCTAGGGGAAGGGATGGACGGGTCCTGGGCTGAGCAAAGAGAGTCCCTCCCAGTCCTGGGGAAAAGGCGTGGGACGGCGGAGGGAGGTGGAGAGCTGAAATCCTGCCCTGGGGGTGGGTGTCAGAACCGGTCTCGGTTTCTCGATAGTAGGGAGGGGTACGGGCTGGGGAAGACTCTACACAGGCCACGGAGAGGTTGGGTCTCGATGAATTTCCCCAGACCCTTTGGATAAAGCATAAGATTTACACCTTGGGTTTGTGCTAGATCCGCCCTTTCTAACCAAGATCGGCTCCTCCCCTCGCCATCCCCAGTATGACGAATTTCTGGGACCTTCTTTCCTTAGGACCCCACCTTGTAACACCGCCGTGGTTGTTTGTCCTTTATTCGTCTTGGGTTGCCATTCGCTTCGCCGAGTGTGACACGGATACGCCCCTAGCATCCCCAAATATCCACACACAAAGTCCGGAAGGAAGAGCACTGAGGCTCTCAGTGGAAACTTCATTCTCACCGGAGTTACTTTCTGGGGCGTCACCTGCCACAGGATTCCTGGAACCCATTGGCCTGGGCGGAATCTGAGCCGGTGGAATCTGAGCTGACGTCATCCAGGGGCTCAAAGCAATTGCTTTGTCGGAAAAGAATAGATTAGCTTGGATTTGTCTTCCTCTGTTGGCAGCTGCCTAGCCTTTAGTGAGCTCCTTTTCTATGATCCTGGGGAAATTGGGCTAGCCACAGAATACATAGGGAATTTGTTAAAACCTGTTAAGGAGTGGATTTATTCCTTTGGGGTGGGCAGAGGAAGGTGAGGTGACCTCACACTATTCAAGTTTACTTACTGATTGAGCAATCTGCTGGTGGGGGCTCATCTCATCCGTACATGACAAGCCACCAAAGAAATTCAATATTTCATACAGCACCTGCCCTGAGCCTTCCCCGGACATTCCTCCCAGGGACCTACCTAAATCTTTTCGGGGACAATTTCAGTCTAACAAACTGACAAATACTTTTAAATGTGCATAGCATTGTGGTAAGCACTGTTTGGGGAGTGGAGCAGTAAACGTGGGAAAACCAGTGCACTTCTGGGTTACACTTAAAAGAGATAACGAGGTAAACTTCTGCAACTTGTGATGATTGAAATGAGGTCATTTCGCTTTTTTTTTTTTAATTTCATTACCAGCACTGCAGTCCAAGCCTTCATCATCTCTTACCTAGACTACTGCTTCCTCCGGTCTTCCCACTTGGTCTCTTGCACCCTTGCGGTCTATTCTCTACACAGTAGCCAGAGTGATCTCAGATCATATCACTCCCCTGCTCTAAACCCTACAATCGATTCCCATTGCAATTAGTATAAAATCCAAACTCTTCAATATGATCCGGCCCCTGCCTTCCCTGAGTTTACATCCAGCCAACTTCCCCCTTCTTTCTACGCACCAGCCATCTTGGCCTTATTTCTGTTCCTAAAATTTGTGTCTGACTGAGGAACTTTGCACTTAACTCTTCCATCTGTCTGGAATGCTCTTAGAGCTCAGCTGGAAAGTCACCTTCCCAAAGAGGCTTTCCCTGGCTCCCCATCTAAAATAGTACCTCTTCCTAGTCACTCTCTCTGTTTTATTATCTTTATTATTACATTTCTCACCTTCTGGAATTGCCTGCTTATTTATTCATTTTCTTGTCTGTTGTCTTCCCACTAGAATGTAAGCTCCACGAGGCTGACTTGTTTGTTCTCTTCTGTATCCCCAGCACCTGGCACAAAGCAGGGGCATGATAAATGCTAATGCTTATTATTTTTTTTCTTGTTAACTGACATTATCATGCTTCTTTGAACTCCTTGAAGTCAAGGACAATATCTTTTCATCTCTTTATCCCTCCTGCTTAACTTGGTAGGTACTCAATATTGTTTTATTGCCAAATGAATTAAATGAGCTGACATATACTAAATGCCTAGAATAGTACCTGGAACATAATAAACATGCAAAGAATGTTTGCTTTTTGTTTTCGTTCAGTGAATGAATTTTAGTGATTCTTTAGAAAGCCAAAACACGTATAGAATCTAGATCATAAGGGGTGATCTGGCTTTGCCCTCCTCTGCTTTGCTTGCTTCTCCCTCCTGTGAACTCCCGTCAGTGTTTCAGTTTCCAAATCACCTAATTGTTTTTAAATTTATCATCTGGTCTTTTTTGGCCCTTTCTCCCCATTCTTGTTGGGCAGGAAGAGAGGAGGAGATAAGGCTGGACCTGTTCTCAGGAAAAAGAAGCAAAAATAGCCATCCTGTAGTTGTTCTATCCTGAAAAATGGTGACAATTTCAGGAACTTGGGACAGGGCTGATGCCAAAAAAGGTGAAGGTCAGGAAACCTTGGCTGGAGCTAGGGTAACCTCTGCCAGGAATACTGGCCAGCTTACTCCAGCCTGGCTCAATCCATGTTCTCCTCAAGCTGCTGTTACTTGCCTTCCTGAAACCAGACTCTGGGTGGTGCTCAAAGGAAGCACTGGATCAGGCTGCTCCTGAGCCTGGAATCATTAGAAAGGAAGTGCATCCTGTCCCTCAGACTCCTGGGAAACTCCTAGGCTGGCTGGATTCCCAGTAGGTTTGGCCGGAAATCTTGGATCCTGGGAACACTGAGAAGAAAACAACTGGAATCTGACTGGTGGATCCCCAGGGTGAGGACTTCTGCTCTGCCCAGTCTGTTCCTGGAGCTGTCTTTGATTAGCTCCAAGAGTTTACTTGGCCTCCTTGCCACCCAGAGCTGCGCCAAGTCTCAGGGAGACTGGTGAGGTGACCAGCATCGGGTTCTGGGAGACTGTGCTCCTAGACCTGGTTCCTGGTACCATGAAGAACAGCAGGA